TTTTGTAAGGACATCAACAACTTGGGACCCATAATTTATATGAGACAAGTCAATGGTTCTTGACTCAATCTTCTCTTTTATAAAGTGCCGATCAATGTCAATATGTTTTGTTCTGTCACGGTGAACTGGGTTTTGTACCATCTGAATTGCTGACATGCTATCACACCATATCTTAATTGGTGTGTCCACTTCAATCTTTAATTCCTTCAAGGCTCGTACTATCCACATTCCTTCGCACACTCCATTTGCTAAGGTTCTTAGCTCTGCTTGAGCATTACTTCTAGAAACCACAGTTTGTTTTTTACTCCCCCAGTTACAAGATTATCCCATACAAAGGTAAAATACCCTCGTTTGATCTACCAACTCAAGTTCTTCCATGATCGACATCTGTATACCCTATTATATTTCTTGACTCTCCATTCTTGAAGAAGACCTCTCTTCCAGGTATCATTTTAAAGTATTTCAAGATGCTATATGTGGCCTCCATATGATGTTCTTGTGGTTGCGATGAAAATTGATTGAATACTCCCACAGTATAGCTTATGTCTAGCTTTGTGTGTGATAGGTAAATTAGCTTCCCGACCAATCACTAATACCTTTCTCCATCAACTAGTACACCATCCTTTTTATATTCCAAGTTTGTAAAGGGATCCATAGGGACTGGTGACGGCTTGGCTCCCATCATTCCAGTTTCCTTGAGTAAATATAGTGTGTATTTTCTCTGTGAGACTAAAATGCCTTCTTTTGAACTGGAGATCTCCATCCCAAGGAAGTACCTCATACTTCCTAGGTCTTTAACTTCAAATGCAGTTGCTAAGGTTCCTTTTAACCTTGTTATCTCCTCGGTATCATCCCCTGTTATAACAATATTATCAACACATACAATTAGAGCATATACCTTTCCTCTTGAGTGTTTAACAAACAGTGTGTGGTCAGATTGACACTGTATGTAATTGGATTCCTTCACAACTTTGGTGAACCTTCCAAATCAGGCTCTTGGAGATTAATCGAGACCATAGAGGGATTTATACAATTGACATGCCCTTTTTAAGTCTCCATGTTCTATAAGTCCTTCGGGTACTTTCATGTACACTTCTTCTTCAAGGTCTCCACTCAAAAAAGCGTTTTTTTACATCTAATTGATGGATTGGCCAATCAAGGTTGGTAGCAAAGGACAACAATATCCTTATAGTATTCAATTTTGCCACTAGTGCAAATGGTTCTTGATAGTTAATCCCCTCTGTCTGAGAAAAACCTTTTGCCACCAATCTTGTCTTGAATTTGCTTATTGATCCATCGAGATTGTATTTAATTATGAAGACCCACTTACATCCCACAGCTTTCTTCTCAAGGGGGAGGCTCAATACTCTCCATGTTTGATTTTTATCAAGAGCTTTTAGTTCCTCATTGATAGCTGCCTTCCATCTAGGGTCCTTAACCGCTTCATTAAAAGTGGATGGAATTTGTTCTTTGTCAATCCTGGTGACGAAACCTTTCATACATGGAGATAGTCTATTGTAAGAAACAAAATGACTGATAGGATGTAGAGTGCACTGTCTTATCCTTTTTTTTAGAGCAATTGGCCACCTAAGGTCTTCAGGATATGGAGTTTTGAGTTGACTCTTGACATTGCTCAGAACTAGAAGGATCCCCATTGTTTGGTATATGTTGTTCCTCAGGTTGATCAATTTCTGCATTAGATTCTTCTTCAGCCACGGCCTGTATTGCATCATTAGGCACCATACTACGAGTAGGAGCATATGAGTTTGTCTCAGGTTGAGAGGAATCTGTGTCAGTTTTGGTCCTTGAGGTTTCATGTTGACCGGAGGTATGTTCAGAATGTGTTTTCGAGGTTAGAGATGGCTGTTGCAGGTTCAGGAATAATTTTATCAGGTGCTGAAATGTTTGTTTCAGGTGTTGGGGTAATGAAGTGGTTTATGTCAGGTTTATCTAAGTTTAGGAACTCCCATTCACTGAGTTTCTCCCCTTGAATGGGAGATCTGGGATGAAAGGCTTGGGTTTCCATAAACATAGTATCCATTGTAACAAAGAATTTTTGCAAGGATGGGGAGTAGCATTTGTAACCCTTTTGAGTAGATGAGAGCCTTAAAAAGATACATTTAAGAGCTCTAGGATCAAGTTTCCCCCATGTCTGTGGTGAATATAAACAATAAAAGGAAGGTCATGAGTTAAGGAATTGGCAGGGTAGGATTTATTGAGGAGGCTTATTGGGGTTTGGTAATTAAGGGTCTTAGAAGGAAGTCTGTTTATCAAGTCTATTGCAGTAAGAATTGCTTCCCCCCAATAATGTTTAGGAACATTGTGAGTGAACATGAGTGATTGGGTAACTTCCAGGATGTGCCTATTTTTGGGCTCGGCTGTCCCATTTTGTTGGGGATTATCAACACAACAAGATTGATGGATGATTTCTTGGTCTCTTAGGTAGTTTTGAGTTGTATAGCTCATGCACTCATGTCCATTGTCACTATGGAGGGTGGAGGGTGAGGATTGGTGTTTGAAATTGTGTTAGGATCATTTTGTGAAACTTGGTGAAAATAGCAGGTAGATCAGATTTTTCTTTCATTAGGAATACCCAGGTTAGGCGTGTGTGGTCATCGATAAAAGTGACAAACCATTTTGCATGGGTGAGTGAGAGTGTTTGAGAAGGTCCCCAAATATCACTATGAATAAGTTGAAAGGGTTTTGAATATTGATGAGAGTGTGGTTTGTAGGTGGCTTTGGTTTGTTTCGAAAATTGACAAACTTCACAGGTAACAGAAAAATCATTCTTATTCAAAAGATGAGGAAACATTTTTGACATATAACGGAAATTAGGATGTTCTAGTCTATAATGCCATAACAATGCATCTTTATTTTCTAGAGTAGCAGAAAAAACTAAAGACAACTTCACATTATTTGAGACAGCATCCTTCTAAACAGTAGAGGTCTTCAAGTATCTTAGCTGTGCCAATCGTCTTCCCTTGCTTCAGATCCTGAAAAACACATTTAGTTGTAGAAAAGTGAACATCACAGTTTTGATTCTGAGTCATAGTTATCATGCATTTTAGTCCAGGAGTATAAAACACATTGTATAGAATTATTTCAGGAGTTATATATGCCGTTCCAAGCCCTTCAACTTTGAAGGCTTTACCATCTGCTACTTTAACAGAGATGTTCACAGGACATGGTCTAATGTCAGTCAAAAGCTGTTGGTTGTCGGTCATATGATCGGTTGCCCCTAAATCCACAATCCATAATCTTGAATGATGTATGTTAGGTTTTAGTGCCATAATAGTAATAACTATATGGGCAATATACCCAGCTGCAAGGGTGGTCTCTCTTGAGTCATGTTTTTCTAGAAACTTCCTGAGTAAGTCTAATTCTTCTCTACTAAATTCTGGTTCATTCTTGCTGTCAACAATTCCAGAATAGCCTCGACCATCTTGTCTTTCGCTTTTTCAAGGGCTTGCCATGCAATTTCCAGCATGTCTCCCTCATGTGCTCTTTTTTTCTGCAGTGATCACACCATTTGTTTTGTCTCTGAGTCATCTTGATAGGCTCCTTTTGATGCAAGAGCATTTGGCTGGTTGGATTCTGTTGTTAAGTCAGTGGAAGTGAGCTTCTTTCTGCTTTCTTCATTCCTCACAGTAAAGAATACTTCCCTTAGAGGTGGCAGGGAGTCAAGTCTCATAATTCTTCCCCTTTTTTCTTCTTTTATTTTTGCATATAGGGCAGCATCTCATACATATTAAGTTGTTGCCATTGAACAACCAAGTCAGTGTAGTACTAAGTTACAGAGAGATTACCTTTCTTGAAATCATAGAAAAATCTCTCAATTTCCAAAATGGCAGCTTTGTTTTTAAGTCCAATGAACATGTCTCTTGCTGTGTCCCATACTTCCTTAGCAGTTTAGAAGAATGTAAAGTAAGCACTAATTTCAGTTGTCATAGAATTGATTAGCCAAGCTTGCACCATGGAGTTTTCAGCTTCCCATGCAGCATATTTTTCATTGGTCCTAGTAGGTTTCTGGATTAATCCAATCAGGTAGCCATACTTGCCTTTTTCCCATGATATATAGTCGCACACTAGAGGATCATTGCATGTAGTTTTCACCATTTAACTGGTGGATGGTAATTGATGTGGGGTTGGAGTCAGTTTGGCTCTGGTGACTAGTGGAACTAGACGCCTCTGCTACCAGTACCAATAGGTGCCCTATCGGAACTCTAGGGTTGTTCTGCACCTCATCGTTGAACCCTATGCCAAACCTAATCATCTTTGCTCTAATACCATAAAGAATCTCTTTGATTCTGAATTGTATTATTCGAATGAGCTAACAGGATTAAATAAATACAAATCTCCTCAGCCAGAGAGGTTATTAGGCCACTGATCTAGGGATCTGGCCAAGGTATTAGGGATCCAGAATATAATTCAAAATACAATTAAATTAGAATCATAATCTAGCTCATAAATAGAAATAAGTTTACAGAATAAAATCTGTCATGGGATTAGGGTTTTTTAGGCCCATGGCCCATTAGACTGAGTTGCCAACACATAGGAAATAACTTTATTAGGCTCATGGTAATTTAGGCTCAACACCTCAGGTTACCCACCCCCACCATAAACCTTGCCCATAATTCTTAAGACGCATAACCATTTTCCATAGCTTTTTTATTATTAATATGGATGGCCCGTATATATAATGTGCCAGGATGTTGTATCGCTTATGCTTTTTCCAAAACTACAAATGATAAAATAATAAATTATCATTTTATTATACTTGATTTGTCTTGATAATCCCATGCCTTATTTCAATGTAGTTACAAGATGCTGGATGCTGGACAGATGCTGCAACCTTAGCTTCAAGTCACTTAAATGGATCTGATTATGCAAGGTTCATGCTCTTTCTTGAACTGTAGAAAGGAGATTTTTTCATCAACATAATTAATTTTTGTTTCACTGTCAACACTATCAATTCATTTGATGTCATCATGCCATCTATATTTGTTGCATAACTTCTTATTCTCTTTCTGAATAAAAAATAATTAAATAAATCTCACACCACTTGATATCAAATCAGTGAATCACGCATATAATATAATACACACTGTCTAATTTCTCGAAGAATTTGTGTGCTACACTTTTGTTTCGCACTTTTTGCCTAATAATCATTTTTGTGCCTGACTTGTGAGGTCGGAGATTCTGTGAAATGAGAGATCAAAGGATAACCATTTATGGGAAATGTCATCTTCATATTTTGACCTACACAAACCTATTATTTATTTTTTATTTTTCAGGACAAGACGTGAAACTCTACCCATTAGAGCCCCTAATTTGCAGTTAATCATACAACCTCTATACAGCTAGCAATACATCCATATCGTACATGTAGACTGGTATTCATTCTGTGCATCAATTCTAACTCTCCTGAGGCATGCTGCACCAGGCTTATTACAAAAATAGGCGATCTAAGGAACCTTAATGACATGGTGTGATTATTTGCTTGCTGATCTTTTGTAATTGACAAATCCCTTTTTTTAATGCATTCAAAAATTACCTCTTTATAATGCCAGTCATTTTCAATGTGTTTGGACGTCTCTTAAAAGGTATCAGTTTGAGGCAATATTTGGAGTTGCCTTACTGTCCTCAAATTTGTTCCATCCTGCTTATTTTTGAAAACTCAATTCTCCTAGTAGTTGTCTATTAGCAGAAATACCAACCAACTTATTTTGCATATATAAGGGCAAAATGAGTTTAGTCTCCTAAAGTTTCCATGAATTTTGTTGATACCTGTAGTTTGTTTCTATATGGATTGGTGCAGATGGTTTTATCCTGTTAAAGTGTTCATTCTCTATTTTAAAACCTTTTCTAATATATAAGAAAATTGAATTTTTGGTCCTCAGTTTCCATCAATTTTGTTAGCAGTCCCTATAGTTTGTTTTCTTAGGGATCAATACCTAAAGTTTTATCCTGTTGAAGAGTTCATCCTCATTTTTTAAACATCTGCTCATGTGTCAAATGGCATTGATGTGGCTTCAACAACGTGATCTTTGTTTGATTTGGCTGCACACAGTTCAAATAAGTTAAGTAGGATTTTTTTAAATAAATATTGTGAAGGCAAACAAAGTAAACAGCTTAAAGCTAATGGGATTTCATTTGTTTCAGACCAAATGTAGCTCAAATCTTTGTTTGAGAAGGTGTTGTTTTAGGTGAAAAATGCATTGCTGTTCACATTTACTGCAAAATAAATGCCTAGATGTGGGGTTGTGACAATAGTGTGCTGAATGATCAGCTTCAATCGCTTCATACCAAGTTACTGCAAAACGATGATAATGTGCTAACCAATCTTGAGATGATTGTTTCTACCCATAAATCAGTCTTGGAGGTTGCTCCATTATTATTATTTTTTTTCCTCGTTCTTGTGGAGAAATATGTTGACCAAATTGTGTCATAATTGACTTAGAGCCTTATCTTTAATGTCGGGTTCATGCAGGGTGTTGCAAAGGTGGGCTGGACAAGTTCATCGCAATGAACATAATATATGGAGGTATGATCACTTTTCTGTTCTCTTTTCATCTTCTCCCTCGCTACAATCACTTAGTTCGAGCTTGTGATGGCTCATTGCAGGGCTCTGATTTTGTATGTTGCTGGCGGTGCACTGCAAGAGGCATTGGCAGTACTTCGTGATGCACAACTACCTGACACAGCTGCAATGTTCATTCTCGCTTGCCGTGAAATCCATGCAGAGTTAGTTTCGAAGTTAGGTAATCCTGACGATGAATCAAATTCTTCCATCCATGGTAAGGTACCACACTTGCCAGGGTTAGATCCTCAGAATGACGATGTCATTGCTGTTGGTGAATACTATGGGCAGTATCAACGAAAATTAGTGCACCTATGCATGGATTCGCAGCCATTCTCAGACTAAATACAGAGTTTCATGACATGGGTTCAATTCTTTCAATTTATATATTCTTGATGGCATTATTCAAAACGAGAGCAAAGTTCTAGTTTGACTCTCATGTCAGTCCTGTTCATCCTTTAGGTCAAAGGATCAGAAGCTTTCAGTACATTGTCATTGCTGTAAGTGTATGCTGGAGAAACTTGGAGAGGCAATATATCAGTTTTGATTAAACATTTCTGATTGATTGCTGAGAAAACGTTGTCCTGAAAGTTTTTCCCCCCTCGATGATTCAAGCTCTTGGGTCGATTATACTATTACAGCTGGTGTGTAAATTTGTGTCAACAACAAATTGTTTGTAACCTTGCTGTTTTGATAGGATGAGTTGAAGAGGTTGGATATGCGGCTCGAGAGTAGTGTGCTATTATGATGATTAAATAGGACCTACTTCACTGCTGTTGAAAAAGTGAAGTTTTTTTTTTTTTTAATTCTTCAGTTCTTACCACTGTTTTCCAAGAATCGTTACACTTCTGGGTACTCTTAATGAATCAAATGGTCGAACTTTATCCTGATGATGCTGGTCCAGCAATAGCTTCCCATTTCCACTCGTATTACCATTCTCTGGGTAACCTTAATGAAGCAAATGGTCAAACATTAGATGTGTGGTTATTCAAATATATGGTCACCACAACATTACTCCATGTTCATGAGAGATTGATATTGTTATATTTGTTTGGCATTTCCACAATCATTAGAGTAATTTTATGAAAGCTATAAAAAAATTCTTGGAATTTTCTTAATTTTATGAAACCAAAGTTCTTGCAAATTTCCTTGTGCTTGCTGCTTTTCCCTTTGTCTTGTGGAAATTGAAATTACTGGTAAATGATTTGTGGTGATTGTAATTAATGGTGAATTTTGTAGTGACTAATGTAAGTCGGTGAAATTGAGCCGAAGTCCAGGGGGTTTTCTTTCTACTCCTCTTGTAGTCGAATTTTGTGGCTATATTTGATTAGGTTTGAATTAAGCTAGATGAGAATGTGTAGGGTTCAGGTTTATATTCTATGATGCCGATATGCTGTCTAATTTTGTTTAGGCAGAGTAGTAAACATGTAAGAGTAAATATGCCAGGATTTTTAAAGAGGGATATGTTTGAAAATAGGCGATGCGTTTGACTGACTGTTTAGTGCGTTGTTACTTAGTATGAAAATGGGGCAAAAAGGCCTAGAAAACATTTATTTTTTAAGTTGTTGCCATGCTGAATTTAGTTTAAATACTAGTTATTAACAAAGCTTAAAGAGTCAGCTAACAAAAAAGGGGGGGAAAAAAACAGCTTAAAGAGGAATTTATATGTGAAAGCAGGTCGTTGATGACTCATTGACTAAATGGTTAATTATTCGTTAGCTTCCACTAACTAAAATTTTGATGAAATTTAAAAATCAAGGCACAATGCCTCTTGCCTAAAAAAAATAATAATTTTAATTAAATTAAATTAATAAAGAAATTAAAAAAATGTAAACTTAAACCTTAACCCAAAAAAAAAAAAACGAGTAACTCGTATTCCCTTAATTTAAATTTTTGATTATGCTTTGGAGTTTTTAATTGAATCCCCTTAGTGATGTGTAACCTTCTTACAACAAATCTTGAAAAGGACATAGTGAAAAATGAGAAAGATGTAAAATAAGAATAAGAAAATGGGGAAAAGTCCAATTTTTCTCGAATGAATTCATCTATCACAAAACCCCTTGCACATTGTTCCATTTCATTTAGATACTTCATTGTCTTATCCATGTTAAACATGATTTGTACCTCCAAAGCAATTGCCCCTTTCTAACATTTGTCATTGCTCCTGCTGTAACAACAAAATGGTCTTTCAACAATTAATGAAATCTCTTTATTCTTTTTTATATCAAGAACCATAAAAGCAGTAGGATAAGGAAAACAATTCACTTTCACCACTGGATCCTCAATAATACCATATGGATACGAAAATTTCTATCAACTAATTGAAGTGTAACAATCACAGGAGTGACCTCCCTTGGATGATGGTTTTTAAAAATAGTTAAGGACATACAGTCAAATCACACAATGCACAACCTTCAAATCCTTCACAAATACATAAGGTCAATAGCAAAACTTAAATGACACAATGCACAGCCTTCAAATCTTTCACCAATTAGACATGAAATGGAGAAAGAACCAAGATCTTTACACTTGAAAAGGATATGAGGCTTGATGATACTAGGGGCGCCTTAGTTAGAGCCATAGTTACAAACTCAGTAAAACACTTCTTACTCAACATATATCTAAGGAACTTGGCATACTTGGCCATTCGCTCCAATACCTTAGAAAATTGATATTGATATAAAAATGCTTTTAGATCTTGAGATAGTTGAGGGAAAGGAAGGGATGGCACCACTTTAGGATTCTTAATTGTATTACCGTTTCCTTTGCTACTTTTACCATCAACCTTACAATTAGCAACTATTAGTTTGACATTACTAGGTTTAAAAGGTGCCTGAATTTTTGTCTAACCAACCTCTTGTTTAGATCGAGACTTTGATGTAGAAGGAGATCTATTTGGCAATCGCATTATACTCCTTAATGTAATCGCCTTGGACTCCTCTTTGCCATCTTTATAAGGCTTAGGCACTATATTACTTGGTAATTATCTTTAGGTGTAGTGCATTCACTGAAGTAGTGAGCTATCTCATTTACACCACCAAATTCTTGAGGGTTGAGTTTACTCTTATAATAACATTGTGAACTATCTTATTTGCACCTCCAAATTCTTGAGGGTTGAGTCTACTTTTGCAATAACATTGTTAGTGCAAGATGTAAACAATAGGGGGTAAATTGGGTAAATAAAAATTCAATGTAAATAATGAAAGACAATTTCAATAAATAACGAATGGAGTTACATGGATGTCATCGTAGTCAAGTCGAGATAAGGTAAAGATAAAAAAACTATACAACTATACTAAAGCTTATCTTAGTTCAACTTAATCCACTAGCCTACATCCAGATTTACAAATCCATTATATTCCTCAAGTTTGTAATGAGTATTTGAGACCCATTTCAATCCCACTTGTACAAATTGAACACCAACGAAGCCTTAATTAATCAATTACTTGAATGCCTTGACAAATTCTACATGCAAGTCATTAACCTCTTATTGAAAATCATCAAAAGAAGGTTAAGTATACATTACCTCATCTCTGCCTGAGTTGTATTCCTCCTTTTCGACTAGAGAAATATTTGCCATAAGTTCATTCTCACTGTCAGACCTATCTCTCCATATTAATGTCACATATGCCTTATTTCTTGTACATTTCACTTTTTGCTCTCTACTAGACTTCTTTTAGAATTGAGGGAAATAGCCTAACTTCTTGCATTCCTAGCAAGTAACTTATCTTGCTCGTCTCTTTTGTTTGAGTAGTTACCTTTCTAGAATTTTCTTCCATTACTATTATTATTGTATAACTTGTTAAATCTCCTTATTAGAAGACTCCTTTCTTCATCTTTTGCTTCACCAATGTTCTCATCATTAACTCGGAGAGCTAATTCTTTCTTTCCTTATATGTTGGCTCTTTTCTAAAATTTTACTAGACTTGCAAAAAGAGTAGCCACTAATCTCATCAGTTCTCCTTTGCTTTCTTCTTTAGCTATGAACTTAATTGGCCACTCATAAGTGAAGACACTTGGATTTTTTTCTCACTTGATCACGTTGATTATCTATTTTCCTACCAAGCGGCTCATGGCATGGGGGGATCTTGTTTCAAAGGCTTTGGTTGTTTTCCCCTTGTTTATTTTGAATAACTCATATTCAATTGTTAGAGTATTAATTCTACTCTATTTAACTCTAATGATCAGAGAAGGCCTTTGGAGGCCCCGGTGAGGAGGGTGGATCAAACAAGATGGAGTCCCATAAAAAGAGGCAGGGGAAGACCGAGAAGAACGTTGAATGAGGTCATTGAAAGAGACCTCCTAGTCAATAACATATCTAAGGATTGGGTTGTTGACAGAGCACGATGGCGTCGTGTGATTCATGTAGCCGACCCCACCTAGTGGGATAAGGCTTGTTGTTGTTGTATTTAACTCTAATGATCCACTCATGAGTAGTCTCCAATGCTTTTCACATTTCTTTTGCTATAGAAAAATTTATAAGTCCATAATATTCTTTATGGCTTAAAGCACTAGTGAGAACTGACATGGTTTTTTTGTTTAGCTATACTAGTCTTATATCATTATTATCATATTCTGCCTGTAACTTTCATATAATTCTTCCTTCTACTACATTAGTTGGCTTATAATCTTTCACATCTCAAATTTTAGACCTAAAAGCCCATAAAATAGCTTAAAGAAGGTAGTCTACTAAGTCCCTTTGAGCAGAAGTCCCAAAGATGTGAAAGAAAGCCAAAACAAGAATAGGGACTAAACTGCAAAGTAAAAGTTTTCAGGAGCTAAAGTGTAATCAAAGTTAGAGGCTCTAGTAAAGTCTCGGAGCCTAGAAAGAGAAAAGATGTTCATTAAAGGTCAAAGGTTAAGTTAGAAGTCTTAAGAGATGGTTTTATGAGGATAAGCCCAAATAGAGACTAAATCATAAATTCAGAAAGTTACGGCTAAGAGGAGTAAAAATGAAAAGTATACAAAAAATTCTAAAAAAAAGTCTAAAAAATGGGAAATAATATTCTATAACTCTTTTATGAAGAGAAATAATGAAAACACCCCTGAGGCAACTTAAATGGAATTTATAAAATTATGGACGGTAAAAAGTATACCGTTTGAAGTAATTATTTGAGATAGCAAGAAGACCTCAAAAATGCATACAAAAATGAGGTTAAATAATTAAAAATTTGTACTAATTTATAAAATTAGTCCCGCATCTAGAAGGCTAGTGTAATAGCTTTAATAAAATATAAAGCCAATTATGCCAATAAGAGGGTATTTTAGGAAATAATTTTTATGCAAGGCTTAAATGAAGTGTTATGTCCTGAGAAAATTTATAAATATTCTCTAGAATTAAAGTAAATTTATAGGATAGACAAAAGAATTTTCTGAGCTCGAAAAGGCCATTAAGAAAGCCAAATAAATGTGAGCCAAGTAAATTGGTATGAAACTTAGAGATTAAGTTTAATCCAATGACTAAGATTCATTCTCCCTTCCTTCCTATTAGATTTTTGACACCTAGCACTTCTAGAAGGATGATATAAGGGATGATGGAAGATGATGTAATAATTATGCAAAAGTGCACTTGAAGTTTCAAATTTGCACTTACAATTTCTATTAGTTTTCAGGGGCATTTTGGTCTATTCAAGACCAAATTTTTGGTTATAAATAGCCCTCCCTCCCCTCACTTTTTTTGGCTAAGATGAGAACAAGAGGGGAAACTCTTGCCATTTTATCTTTTGAAGCTTAATCAAGAGGAAACCATCTACTTTGATCACATAAGCTTGGATACAATGTTAGTTTTATGTTCTAGCTTATATTTTGTTTTGTATTCTTGGGTTTGGTAGTTGAAAAATATAGATTCCCCTAAGGGGAGGTACTGGCCAAAATCTATAAGAGTTAGGGGAGG